GTTTGAGGTGTTATATTGTTTGATTAACTGTTAAAAATTTAGTCCAGAGCTTTATGATATGATGTTTAAGGTGTTATATTGTTTGATTAACTGTTAGAAAGTTTAGTCCAGAGCTTTATATGATATGATGTTTGAGGTGTTATATTGTTTGATTTACTCTTAGAAAGCCTAGTCTGGAATCCTTTGATTTGATGATTTAGTTGTTATATTGTTTGATTAACTGTTAGAAAGTTTAGTCCAGAGGTTTATGATACGATGTATGAGGTGTTATATTTTTTGATTAATTGTTAGATCATATCATAAAGCTCTGGACTAAACTTTGTTTGAGGTGTTATATTGTTTGATTAACTGTTAGAAAGTTTAGTCCAGAGCTTTATGATATGATGTTTGAGGTGTTATGATTGATTAACTGTTAGAAAGTTTAGTCCAGAGCTTTATGATATGATGTTTGAGGTGTTATAGTGTTTGATTAACTGTTAGAAAGCCTAGTCTGGAATCCTTTGATTTGATGATTTAGTTGTTATATTGTTTGATCAACTATTTAATCCCAACCCCTAATGGTTTCCCTTCCTTCCTTACTAACAGTTCTTTCTACTCATTCGTCCACCTTCTTGTTTTTAGCTGACGGTGGAGAGTTTGTTAGCTGGCAAGGTAAGCACTATTTACATGTTCCAAACCATGTACGTCGTACATTTCTTCAGATAGTCATCTTTATTGTTGTACAGTGTTTCCTTTGTAATCTGTTCCCTTTTTATTATTAATGATGAATTTTGATCCAATTAAACATTGTATTTGTGTGCTTTGACTACAATAGCTACAATTAAACACACCTCGTAGATGGTAGAACTACCTGGGCCTTTGGGACCAGGCCCAGCCAGTAATTTTTAAATGATTGTCTGGTAAAGTTTAAATATTTACTTTATAAACTTTTAAAATGATTTGTTTGATTAATAATAAATATGATTTATAAGTACAATGAAGGGGTTTATGTTTGGGGGAACATACTACACGTTTCAATAGAATATTGTCTTCTTCGGGTATGTTTTCCATACTAAAGAATTGTTAGCAGTGACGGAAAAGGCCATTTCGAGGGTGATGTAGTCAATTTGTAATTATCAGCACCACCATCACCACCTGTTTAGAGAACTTATGTGCTAGCTTATGATTAATTGGCTCAAGGTCAAGGATTATTCTCAGGGTAGCAACTAAAAAGTTCTTAGTATATAAAAAATTTTGGCTTGTGGAAATCGGGGCCCATTCGGTAGTTTAGATCTTCTCTCTGTTATAAATCTTATCTTCAGTCTTCATCTCATTGTCTTGGAATCTCATTTTTCTTTTGTTTTACCATAAACTTTTGTGTGAATTTTATTTGTTGAATAGGCTGCGTTAGTCAGAAAAAAAATGTTGGATCACATGAATTTGTTGTGGTTTTGAAACTATAATATTAAAACTTCACTTTATGAATATTTCAATTCCTGGTTTCTAAAGTTCATTGTGTTTTCATGGAAGATTTTATATTGTAAAAGTACTTTACAGAAGTATGTAGCCTTCCAGTGTCGTAGTTACATACTGAATCTACATACTTCCAGTGTCGTAGTTACATACTGAATCTACATACTTCCAGTGTCGTAGTTACATACTGAATCTACATACTTCCAGTGTCGTAGTTACATACTGAATCTACATACTTCCAGTGTCGTAGTTACATACTGAATCTACATACTTCCAGTGTCGTAGTTACACACATTAGCCACTAGACCACACTGGATTAATCTATTAGGAAGAGATACTACTAAGTTGTCACTGTAGAACATATATCTTATTTTAAAGTTTGCTACAACTTTGTCCTAAAACCAAGATGAAAAATTAAATAAAATTCACTTGACTTCAATACTTTTATCCTTCAGACCGAACCAGTTAAAATGTAACTACGACACTGGAAGTATGTAGATTCAGTAGTTATTCACAGTCTAGACACATATATCTTTATTACATAATCAAATATTATAAAACACGTAGACAACTTAGTAGTATCGTTATTCACAGTCTAGACACATTAGACACTAGACCACACTGGATTAATCTATTAGGGAGATTACATGTTTTATAATGTTTGATTATGTAATAAAGATATATGTTCTACAGTGACAACTTAGTAGTATCTCTCCCTAATAGATTAATCCAGTGTGGTCTAGTGTCTAATGTGTCTAGACTGTGAATAACTACGTGTTTTATAATATTTGATTATGTAATAATGATACAGGGGTTGGACAAAATAATGTCAGTGAATAATAATGTCTAGCTACGAAATGAAAATTCACTGTTATTGCTATCATTTTCATACCTCACCTTTTATAAATTTTGAACCAAAACGTTGTTTAACATTTATTTGCTAAATGTACATGTGCTAGTTTATTTTAACTGTTCTTACTTTTATATGTATATAAGTACTTTTGCTCTGTATTTATTTTGTTTTTTTATTCAAGTAGTTTTAAAACGTTCAACTGAATCCTACCACTTCAAGGAGTTTTGAAATGAAAGTCGTGTCTGATTGACAGTTTTAACTTGACCTGTTGTTAGTGCTTCCTGGTGGCTCAGCTTTGGTATCGGTGATAAGCACAGCACAGATAGCCTATTATGTAGCTTTCAAGAAATACAGGAATTAGAAAAAACAAAATAATTGTCCCTTTATTCAAGTAGTATAATCTGTATAAGTAAGGATTTTTCTAACCTGCTTTGTGTCCATTTATGGAGTTGAGAGTAAAAACTATTAAATATTTTAAATTATTTTCTATAAGAAACCATTATTTATTATTTGAAACATTTGTGCCACTCATCTTGTGCACAGAAACGTTTTAAGTTCTTTGTTTTTCTTGCTAAGCCTAAAGTTTGTAAAAAAAATTATTACAGATGCTAAAAGATATTCATATGTAGAGCCCAAATATTTGGGCCCAGACTTGGGTCCAGTTTGAGCCCAAATATCTACTTGGGTCCAGTTTGAAAAAAATCCCTCTTATTTCATCAATTTTTTAAAAGCAGCAGTTCCTGTGTTTCACTTTTTGCAGAAGTTTCTCAACGACTCAAAAACTAGAAACCCCCACACTATTATTTTAGTTTATAAATATTGTGCGGATTGTTGTTTTAGTTATCATCAGGAGAAATCATACTTTTGTGGATTTTCCAATTAATACTGGTTCATTAGAATTCTAATTTTAAATTAAAGTTATTTTGGAAGAGTGAAAACGACAGACTGTCTTTAAAAGTGTTTTTCTTTCTTCATAGGACCACCAGGAATGAGCCCAATGAATCCACGAATGAATCCCCCCAGAGGGCAGCATCTTGGACCAATGAATCCTGGTGTGAGTAGTAATTTATTTTGTACAAATAACATCTATTTTATTTCAGGTTGCGTGTTGATTGGTTGCTTTTAGAGATTTGGGGGGGAATAAAATTGAAAATGTGGAACTTTTTTATGTAATAAATTCAGTGATTACTTTTCTCAACTGAAGCAACTTACAACTACTATAACCTATTAATTCCAGTGTTAGCAAAGCTACATGTGTCAGTGATTACTTTTCTCAACTGAAGCAACTTACAAGTACTATAACCTATTAATTCCAGTGTTAGCAAAGCTACATGTGTCAGTGATTACTTTTCTCAACTGAAGCAACTTACAAGTACTATAACCTAT